GTGAATCTATATTGAGCCCAAATCTTACTGCCTTACTGAGGTCTGGAGAGCTGGGCACAAGGATCCAGTTTTACCTTCTGGAGCAGCAGCATCTGTCACTTCCTGTGTGAAGAGAAATGGGTGATGAGGGCCCTGTGGGTCTCAAATATAAAACCTCAACTCCTTTAAGTTCCTCAGCCATGGTTGTCACATGATCAAATACTGTTTACCCCAAGGACCACACCCTCACTTCTCAGTTCCAGTTGGTCTGGGCGCCCCATCCAGCACCGGTCTCTCACGTCTCTATGTGGATATCCCAAGAGAGCCACAGTGCTGCCGACTGTGGAGGCTGGACTGGCTCAGCATAGAACTGTGTCTAGCAGAGAGAATATAGAACACTGGCCCTAGCAGATGGCAGCCATCTCTCCCACTGCCTTCAAGGGACTGAGCTCTGGTGTGGCCTTGAAGTATTGGGCTCTAGCATGGCTGACAGGTTGTGCCTCTCCTCCCAGCGGCCAGCGACAGCGACTACCCCCCAGGGGAGATGTTCCTGGACAGTGACATGAACCCTGAGGACTCGAGCACTGATGGTGTATTGGCCGGCATTACGCTGGTGGGCTGTGCCACTCGCTGTAATGTGCCACGTAGCAACTGCTCCTCTAGAGGGGACACCCCAGTGCTGGACAAGGGACAAGGTGAGTCTTGGGCAGCCTTCTCTCCATCCACCTTGTTCCTCCTGTCTCTGCCCAGCCAAGCTCACCCCTCCTTCCACAGGAGAGGTGGCTGCCACTGCCAATGGGAAGGTGAACCCATCGCAGTCCACAGAAGAGGCCACAGAAGCTACGGAGGTGCCAGACCCTGGGTCCAGTGAGCCAGAAGCAGCTGCAGTGCGGCCTGGACCCCTCACAGAGCATGTTTTCACAGACCCAGCTCCTACCCAGCCCTCCAGCACTCAGCCTAGCAGGTAGACTCTTGTACATCCAGCAAAACAGAAGTGGAAGGGAGACTGGCAGAAGTGTCAGGGTCTCAGGGCAGGGGTCAGGCACAATCTTCAGGCTACCATCCTTCTTGCAGTGAGAATGGGACAGAGGTCGATGGAAATAGTGTACAGCCCCAGCCGGAGCCAACTGGGGACCCCTCAGCACCAAGTAGCAGTGCTGCACCCACCATGTGGCTAGGAGCCCAGAATGGCTGGTAAGCTGGCTAGGGCAAGGGTTGAAGGGCTCTCTGGCTTCACCTGGACTTGTGTCCATGCCCACCTTAATCTCCTTCCACAGGCTGTATGTGCACTCAGCTGTGGCCAACTGGAAGAAGTGCCTGCACTCCATCAAGCTGAAGGACTCTGTGCTGAGCTTAGTGTATGTGACTCCACACTGAGGGTTGGGAGTCAGATGGGGGCCCAGGTCACCTGGCTCCCCTGAGCCTGGCTCACCACCTTCCCATTCCAGGCATGTCAAAGGCCGTGTGCTGGTAGCTCTCGCAGATGGGACTCTGGCCATCTTTCACCGTGGAGAGGGTAAGGTTTGGTGGCCCTACCACAATTGGCGGGGTGCTCCCCTGGTGCTCCCCTGGTCCCTGGGACTGTCCTCAGCCTGGCAGTGGGCTCTCCACCCATACCTATGAGTAGTGGGATCCTGATGTGCCTGAGCAAGTGTCATGGGCTTTCTCTAGATGGCCAGTGGGACCTGAGCAATTACCACCTGATGGACCTGGGCCACCCCCACCACTCCATCCGCTGTATGGCTGTTGTGTATGACCGAGTCTGGTGTGGCTACAAGAACAAGGTGCATGTCATCCAGCCCAAGACAATGCAGATCGAGGCAAGTGCAGACTAGCAGTGTGGCACCAAGGAGGGGAGGGAAGACTCTGGCCTCCCCTCTGAGAACCACTCAGAGAAATTGCTCCTTTGTTCAAAGGCATGTACAAGTAAAGGGCAGCTGGGATGCCTTTGTTAGTCTGTTTGAAGCCTGCTGTGTGCTGGGTACCCTTAAAACAGAAGTCAAGGACACAGATCTCCCCTCTGGCTTGGCCATCCAGGGCCAAGGGAGCAATGCAGATGCTGGATCAAAAGCTGGAGTGGGCTCTGTTCTCTCCAGATACAGGAGTAACTCTTGGGGCTGGGGCAGGTTCAGGGTCCCCTCCTCATTCTCCCCTTTCCCAACCCCGCTGTTGGGTGTCATGACCTTACAGAAGTCATTTGATGCCCATCCAAGACGAGAGAGCCAGGTGCGGCAGCTGGCATGGATCGGTGATGGGGTGTGGGTATCCATCCGCTTGGACTCCACCCTCCGGCTCTACCATGCCCACACCCACCAGCACCTGCAGGATGTGGACATTGAGCCCTACGTCAGCAAGATGCTGGGTGAGGGGCAACTCTGGGGTGAGCAAGGTGGGGACAGTGACACGGACCACACTGACCCAGCATCTCCTGCCCCCCCACCCCCTAGGCACTGGCAAGCTGGGCTTTTCCTTTGTGCGCATCACAGCTTTGCTCATCGCAGGCAACCGCCTCTGGGTGGGCACTGGCAATGGGGTTGTCATCTCCATCCCGCTGACTGAGAGTAAGTGATTCCCATCCTGGGATACCCGCAAAGATAGTGATGGCTATTCCTAAAGGGCACATGTCAGGATGGGGTCGGGGGAGGCCATACACATCCACAGCCTGGTGGACCGAGCCACCCTAGCTGCAGCCACACTCAATCTCCATCTCTTCTCACCAGCTGTAGTCCTGCATCGAGGCCAGCTCCTAGGGCTCCGGGGTGAGTACAGGGCACTGCCTCTGCCCCAGACACAGCGCAAGGTGATCCCTTTGCTCCTCTCCTGTCCTCCCTTCCTTTACTTTCCCTCCTTCTCTCCTACTGGAAATGAGGTGGCTCAGTGCCCTCTTTATCTCCAGCCAATAAGACATCTCCTACATCTGGAGAGGGCACCCGCCCTGGGGGTGTCATCCACGTGTATGGAGATGACAGCAGTGACAAATCAGCCAGCAGCTTCATCCCTTACTGCTCCATGGCTCAGGCCCAGCTCTGCTTCCACGGACACCGTGACGCTGTCAAATTTTTTGTCTCAGTGCCAGGTGAGTGGTCATTCCTCCCCTTCCCTGCATGCCATGGCCCTATAGGGGTACAATGGTAGCCCCTCTAGGAAGCTGCCATACTGAGTCCCTTTTGACCCCATGACAGGGAATGTGCTGGCCACCCTCAATGGCAGTGTGCTGGATAGCCCATCGGAGGGTCCTGGGCCTGCCGCACCTGCTGCAGATGCTGAGGGCCAGAAACTGAAGAATGCACTGGTGCTGAGTGGTGGTGAAGGGTACATTGACTTCCGCATAGGTGAGAGGGCACTGCCCAGGGCAGGGTTGTGTGTGTTGGCAGCGAGGAGCTGTTTCTGACTGCTGTGACTCTCTAGGGGATGGAGAGGACGATGAGACAGAGGAATGTGCAGGAGACATCAGCCAAGTGAAACCCACGCTGTCCAAGGCAGAGCGCAGTCACATCATTGTGTGGCAGGTGTCCTATACCCCAGAGTGAGGCCACTGCCCCAACTCTCCACCCTGCCTGATGCCAATGTGTACATAGGACCCCTGCCTGCCTGCCCTCTGTCTCCTCCCCTGGGGCAGCCAGGTGCCCAACCACCCCCTTCTAACCTCTCAACTTGCAGCTTTCACCTGAAGTCCAGCCCCCTCCCCACAGCTGGCAGGGAGAGGGGTGATACAGGTTATAGAGAGGGAGGCAGGGAGCAGGTAGCATTCCCCAGCAGGGAGGGGAACCTTTGGGAACACTCCCCGACAGTACCTGGCTGGCACCCAGCCTAGCGTCACGTCTCAAAGGCACTTCAAGTGAGGGCAAGGCCAAGGTGGCTGTGGGCAGCCCTGGTCCACTATGGGCTTCCCACTCCTAGGACCCCCATGGCAGGAGCAAGGGCTTTGAGCCGCCAAGTCTTCCTACCCAAGTCCACCTGCTTTGCATGCTGTCCATGGGAGTGGGGTCCCTTAGCCCCCAGGGTCTTGCTCTTCCTGAGGAGGCCAGGTCTAGTAACCATCCTGTGTCCAGGAAGGTAGGGCTCAGACTGCCTGGACCCCAGCCAGCCTTCTATGGGTATCCTCCATTCACAAATATCCATTCCCTCAGCCCTGTCCAGCCTCCCCAAGATCTAGCATTAAAGCTTGGGGCCAGGCTCCCTAGGGCATCTTCTTCAGAAGACAAACCAGGTGCCATCTAGTCCAGCCCTTGCTGACCTCTGCCCCTCCCTGAAGCCCATAGGGTAGAATTTCTCAGGCAGAGAAATTTCTGAGGCAGGCCCAGGCCTCAGGAAGACCAAGGGTCTCTGGCCTCTTCTGGGAGGGGTGGAGTAAGGCTTGGTCCAGAGGCCTCCAGAAGTTTCTGGTCTCTCCTTGGGGGGTGGGGGGGGCAGAGTGCATGCTCAGCCTCAGGTTGATGGGGGTAGTGTGCTCTTGGAGTCTGTCCACTGCACAGGGTTCCAAGGAGCCCAGCTCCCAGACACGTACTAAGTGCCTAGGGTTGCCCGCTGTGGCCTGCTCCCATGAAGAGCAACTGGTGAGGGGCTGCTCAGCAGAGGACAGACAGGGCTACTGCACCAGGCCTGGGCATTGCCCTGGGCTGCCCTCCTTACCCACCTTCCCCGCCCAGGCCTTACTCCTACTCCAAGGCACTGATCAGGGCAGCATGCCCCCTGCTGCTGCCCACCACCCCCTAGAGAAGCACAGATCTTAGGGCGCTATGCCATGAGCCCAGCTGGCCACCACAGGCTGCAGCCAGCGCAGCTGCAGGCTTCTCCCCACCACCCTGCCACCTCTCCACTGTGATGTATGTCCCTGTCTGTCCCCACAGGAACTAAAGTGACTGGGTTTAGAGGGTGGGTGGAGCTGGAAAAAAGGGGCCGGTGCAATTCTCCTCAGGCTTTGTTTGGTCCTGCAAGTGAACCCACATATCTGCTCTGTATGTAATAAACGTCTTGACACCATGCCTCTGCCTCCCGGGGATCAGGCTAGTGCACACACAGGTTTTTCTCAATTTATTATGAAAAAAGGTGAGATGAACATGGGGAGTCCAGGTGCTGTGGGCTGGGGAGGTGGCTCTGCAGCAAAGTAGCTGTGTGTGGCCTGCACCCACTGCTTAGGGGAGCTCTGCAGGGTGTAGTGGTCTTGCACAAGGCCAGCACCTCCCTATTCATATAACCAGTGTGAGGCGCTGTCTTCCCAGCATAGGATCTCCTCCATAGGGAACCAGAGTGCAATCTCACGGCGGGCACTCTCCACAGAATCGCTGCCATGGATCAAGTTTCTAAGGTGTACAGAGAGCCAGGTGAGCAGGGCCAGCAGGCAGGGTGTAACGAGACAACACAGAAGTAACTGGGCCTTACTTGCCAACCTCTACGCAGAAATCCCCACGGATGGTGCCAGGCACTGCGTCCACTGGGTCTGTGGCCCCAATAAGGGCCCTTGAGGCGCGCACCACATCCAGTCCCTGCCACACCTGCGCGGGCGGGAAGGCAGGTGGTATGGACAAAGCTTTGATGCCAGGGCACTAGCCCACTCACTGGGAACTCACCATAGCTACCACGGGCCCCGAGCTCATATATTTGACCAGGCGACCATAGAAGGGACGTCCACGTAGATCGGCATAGTGTTCCCGTAGCAGCTCCTCAGAGGCCTAGAGGACAGACAACAGCATGCGCCTGGGCGAGTTTCCACCCCGCTCCGCCCAGCAGCAAACTCCAGCAATGCACCGCCCAACACAGCCCTTCCTCACCTGCACCAGCTTCAGTGCCACCAACTTGAAGCCTTTCCTTTCGAATCGCCGCACAATCTCGCCCACCAGCCGCCGCTGCACCCCATCCGGCTTTACCGCCAAAAAGGTGCGCTCGTGTACGCCGCCGCAAGCTGCAGGGAACTGGTCTTTAGGCCCGCCCGGTAGTAAGTCCCCCGGCAAGCCCCGGCCCAGCCCAGCGCTCACCCGCGGGGAAGAGCTGAGACAAGATGGTAAGCACCAGGCAGATCATGGCGACCGCAGGCGTGGGGCGGAGCCAATGGGGCGGACTGGCGCAGGATCCGCCCGCTGCGCCGCACTCCCCCCCCAACCCCCAGCTTCGTCTACAGCCGCACGCACAAAAGAAACCACTATCCAGACCACATGGAGCGTTTATTTCCGGCCTCAGGAGCAGAGAAGGGTTTGACTGCCGCCAGCTCGCTACGCCTTGCAGCCCACCCGCGGGGGCCTGTGCTCAGGTCTTTGTATCAAGGCGCCAGGATCTCCCAAATGTTCCACGTTCAAAAGTTGGGTCTTGGTCCAGGGAGATGGCTCAGTAAAATAAGAGCTTGCCTGGCAAGCGCAAGGGCCTGAGTTCATTCCCCGGTTCCGCCAAAAAAAAAAAAAAAAAAAGCAGGGTCTTCAGAGTCCATCCTGGTCCCCGCACGTTAGACTGGAGTGCCCTTGGTCTTGCGCTTGGCCTCCAGTTTCTCAGGGTAGTCCCAAGGATCCGCGAGCGTCCTTTCTAGGTTCAGCAGAGGTTCCTCTGTGCTGGGATTCCCACTTTTCTGCCGTTCCGCGAGGATCATAGCACGGAGCAGTGGCGGATAGGGAACAGGGCGCAGATCCTCTTCGGGTCCTGGCGTGAATGCTGTAAAGGCCTCTTCCTCGTGCTTTGGCACCACCCGCCAGTCGTGGTGCATAACATGCTCTATCTCCCTGGCCTCACTCTCCGTCTTCCCTAAGAAAAGAGTCAGGGATGTTGGCGCGCTCGAGAAACCGGCTGCTGCCCATTCGGCGCTCCGGAACCCAGGTCTTACCTTTGAAGGTCAGGACGCCCCAGGCCTTCCCGTGATCCAAATTCTGCAGAGCAAAAAGGATGAGTAAACTCAGAAAGCCGCTCAACCCGGGGCCCGGGCGGAGCAGGGGGCTGGACTGGGATCGCACACCTGCGCCGTGTAGTCCGGCAGTACGCGTGTGAGTCGCCAGTAGCACGGTTCGTCGTGTTGCCACAGCCAGGACTTGCGTGTGACCAGCCGGCCCAGGCCGAAGCGCGGCAGGCGGCTAAGCAACTGCAAGAGGCGGCTCTCGCGGCGCACGTCGACCCAGGCACGCACTGGGAGCCGGTGGCCGGTGTAAGGTCGTGTCAGAGTCTCGTAGTCTAGGGCGTAGCGCTGCGAATCGCTTGGCTTTTCCCGCTGCTCGCGCAGGGCGCGAACTCGGCGGGCGAGTTCGGCGATCAGCCGCGGCCTCACCTTTTTGCGTGCCATGGTTTCCGCGGAGCGGAGCCCACCGGAAGCTAGAGAGCCCAGTGCCCTCCCACACCGGAAGGGGCTGGTGTAGAAAGCAAAGGTGTCCGGGCCTGGCCGGAAGCGGAGAGGAGTCTGAATCATGACAGAGGCTAGGCGTGGGAGGATGCAGCGACGGCCCCCAACTTGGGAGATCTCGGACTCGGACTCTGAGGGCGACGCTACAGCGGAGGCTGGTGCTGGGGCCCGGAGCGCAGCAGGGGAGCTCAAGACAGCACGTGAGACACGACGGCCCGAGACGGCCTTGCAGCGCCGGACGGTGTGCGTGGACCCAGGTGCAGGGACATGGGCCCTGGAATGGGAAACCGCGTTCGGTGATATGCTGCAGGGCACAGGCCAGCTGACTCAGTTGCTGGCGGGGCGTGTCCTTCCTGCATCCTGGGGTTCGGATCCCTAGCCAGGTCAGGGGACCAGCTCTGTGGGCTGTCAGTCTAGGAAAGGCGAACATGGGTGGGGGGCGTTGTGGGGCTGCACTCGCACACCCCACCAGTTGTGGGTGAGAGCGAACTGGGTGAGAGCATATAGTGAAGGAACTGTACCCCGCGGACCAGCTGTCCTGGAAGATGCCGGCTCAGACATCCTGATGGAGGCACTGAGTGCCCTGGGCTGTAAATGCTGCATTGAGCCGCAGAGTCCAGCCCGCAGTCTGCAGTGGCGTGGAGTGAGGCTTGACCCCCAGGCCTCAGGCGTGAGTGTTCCCTGAGAGTGCAGCTCTGGTCCCAGCCAAGCCTGGCAGAGGAGTGGACTGAGACATCCTGGTTCCCTTGCCACTCTGCCAGCAAGAAGCATGCTCTCAGCTGCTGCCAAACGTTGCCCCTCCGAGAGCCTGGGTGGGGTTACATTTGGCTCTCTGAAGGGAAAGCCATCTCACATTGGAACCTAATGTGAGATGTCTGGAAAGCAGGAGGCTTGGGTGTGGCTGGGGAAGCTGCTGGAGTGCCAGTGTTGGCCCTGGGGACCCAGGCCGAGATTTAGCAGCAGCATTCAGTGTCCCCACAGGTACTTCCTGAGTTGTGGGCTGCAGAGGACCAGGAGCTGCTGCTGCTATTGAAGCCAGAAGAATTTCTTCAGGGTGTGACTCAGATTACCCAGGTGCTGTCCTTTCTCTGTGTCCTGGTGTTGGGAGTTGCTGACCAGGCAGCATAGCTTCCCTGGTTCTCATTCTAGGGGAGAGGGGAAAAGGTGGCTAAGGTTCTGTATGTTCAGAAACCTCAGAGATGTTGAGAGTAGGGTTTGCCTGTAACAGCCAACAGCCTAGTTTTTATTAGGGTGCTCAGTAGCCTGTGTTGGAGAATCAGAATGCAAACCTTCTGGGCCCCAGCATCCAAGGGGCCCAGCACTTGATGTGTGCCAGACAAATGCCACCTAGGGTACAGAAGTGGCTACAAAAGAGGATCCAACTCTTCCAGAACCCAAGGAGTTCCGAGGGTTTGTAAATCTGCTCATCTTCTGCAGACTGGCTGTGGCCTGGTGGCCTATGACCCTCCTGCCACAGACTTCCTGTCAATAGGTATGAACAGGTGTGCTATACATTCTTGTCTCAGACCTCAGGCCCACCCTGTTCCATACCCTGGATTTCTACTGAGACCCCTGCCCGCCTCCACGTGGCTGTCATTGGGCTGGATGCCTACCTGTGGTACTGTTCACCTACTGCCTTTAGCAAACCTGGTTGAGATGGGTTCCTGAGGAATGTGGGGGTGGCTCTACAGGGTGCTGTGTCCATTGCCCAGGATAGGTCCTGGGGGAAGCAGAACTCAGGGAGGGTAGAACTGAAGGTATGTGGGGACTGGCAGGATAGTTACCTCTGTTTAGGTCTTACCAGCCAAATGCCCAAAGGATACAGCAGCCAGAGAGTCCAGAGGTGGCCCAGGCCCAGCAGACTATTGGCTGGCCTGAAGTAGAAGAGGTAAGTGCCAGACTGGATTGGGTGGCACAGTTGGCTTTATCCTAGTAGAGACTATTCTCATGAATAGGCCCTCATTCACACCCATTGCTTGCCCTCCCAGGCCTTGGTGCTCCTGCAGCTCCTCAGAGACCTGGATGTGCTGTTGGTGGCCTCATGGCAGGAGCTGAGTCAGCATGTATGTTCCTTCACCAAAGCCCTCGCCCAGCGTCCCTCCAAGTATGTATCCCTGCCCAGGGCTGAGACAGGACCATGTTTAAGGCGTGGAGGAAGTGCCTGCTGAGAATAGGAAGGCTTTGCTGAGCTGGAGGGGTACAGAAGGCAAGCCTCTGAAAGGTCCCTTGCATGCCCTTCCTGTTACAGGCAGTACCGGGACTCCCTAGCCTTTTCCTTCTGCACATCAGGGCGCTGGGCTTCAGGCCAGAGAGTGGCCAGAGATGGCTCTGGGCTGCAGGGGGTGTGGTGGAAGCAGATCCAGCAATTTAACAGGGTCAGCCCAGCTGTAGCTGATGCTGTGGTTGCTGCCTTTCCCTCCCCTCGCCTTCTGCAGCAGGTGAGTCCCACCAAGTGGCCCTTTCCTTTCCCAGAAATGGCAACCAGGTCCCCAAGGCCCACCCTGCTCACATCAGTTCCTGTCCTAGGCACTCCTGGCCTGCAGCACAGAACAGGAGCGCCTGGGCCTCCTGGCTGACCTCCCTGTCAAGGGCCACAAAGGCAGGCAGCACCGCAGGGTTGGACCTGACCTCTCCCGCAGAATCTGCCTCTTCCTGACCACTACCAACCCTGACCTCCTGCTGGACCTGGGCTCCTGAGCACAGCACATCCATTAGCAGGACTATATATAGCTTAACTGAGAGACCAGACACACTTAAAGGGCAAGACCCCAGCACACCTAAGGTAGACTAGAGTGGATTCATCTTGGGTCAGTCAGGTCTGAGCTGTCTGAGCTGCCTGAGCGTGACAGGAGGCTGAAGAGTGGAGGGAAGTTCTGCAATGAGCAGAAAAACACCTGTTCTTCCCCAGCCTGGGATTGTCAGAAAACCGGACATAGGCCCTCTGGCTTTAGGGGAACCAAGCAGCAGGGCAGTGTGTCCAGAAGGGCTGTCAGGCAGCAGCAGCCAGGCCCACAGTTACCAGAGGCTTGAGGACTGGCTTCCTTGGGAGGAATAAGAGATCTTGGGGAGAGGAGAATCAGGCTTGCCCCTTCCAGGCTGTTGGAAACTGCCAGATCTGACATGAGGAAAACTGGACACGGGAGCCCAAGGCCTTGAGGTGGACTTTTTAATCTTACAGCTGTGTAGGCATCTGTTACAATTATTAAAGTCTCTGTGACAGGAGCAGCAGCTGACAACATGCAAAGCGACCTAAGAAAAAACCCAGATCTGGCAAGAACTGAGCTCCAGCAGAGCCCGTGTCTTTCTTGGGGCAACAGACACCTACACCCCAGCCTCCTAGGCCGAGTCTAGGTCTAGAGGTGCTAGGCTGCTCCTCCCAGGACACTAAGAGGGAGATGCTATGAGCACAGTACGGCTTCAACCCTGCCAGGCACAAGCAGCGGAGCTGACTCATAGCCTGGGGCCCCAGGTCCCCTGGAGAAAGACTGTCCTGACCCTGGGGGAGATGGAACAACCCCAGGTGGATTTCAGCCCAGCTCTCCTCTCTCCTGCCTGATAGAAAAGGAGCAGAGATGGAGAAAATGCCAGTCACAGGCTGAGGTGGCAGTCTTCATCAAGAAATAAAGTCAGGTCCTTCGGCAGCGCTTTCTCTGGCAGGGCCTGGTTTCTGGGCTGTTGGGGCTGCTCAGGTCTGCTGTCCTAGGTGAGGACACAGTGGGCTTATGGCGGCTGTAGTTCATGCTCAAGACCCAGCCCAGCTTGTTGTGTAGTGCCTGCTTGAGGCCAGGTGGCAGGGGCAGTCCCTCGAGGGTATCGCCTGAGTCTGGTCGCAGCTGCCGCAGGCGGTAGCAACACAGATACTGCAAGGAGGTCATGCTAGCACAAGAACGGATCACCTTCATGCTGCTCTTTGCTGCTGTGGAGCACACCATTGGATAAAACTTCTTGTTCTGTAGCCGAGTAGCTGCCACTCCTGGAAAAAAGACACAGAAGGGAGGCCTGCTAGGGCAGCCAAGGGAAGCAGCTTGTGCAGCCATGAGAGAGGATGCTGGTCCAGGGGACTGTAGCCTGGCCCAAGCTACATTTATATGCAACACGTGTGTGCACATACACACCAGGACCCTGAGGCCTCGGGTTCATGCACACACAACACACCAGGACCCTGAGACCTCGGGTTCCTGGGTCTCCTCTTAGGATCAGGCCAAGGGAAGCCACACACAGTAATGCCCTCACCTATGCACTTCCTGTTCTTGAAGAAGGTCAGCGTTCCGTGCCAGGTGTCCAGGTGCACACCAATGATGGAGCCCTGGCCGAACCTCGAGGAAAAACTTGTCTTGTTGCCCTTGTGATGAAGAAGCCCTGGGGACAGCTGGGTATATGAGCCTAAAGGCCATATGCTACCCTTCCCACAAGCCTGCCCCACCTAGGCCACACGCACCTGTGTAGGACAGGCCCCAGCTGTCCTCATCCCTGCCAAGTAGGCTGCAGAACGTGTGCTGATACTTGTCCAGGTCCACATCTGATGTCCCAATGCCCACCATCTGGGGACAGTGGGGTTGAGCAGGGGCTATTGGGCCTGGGGCCTAAGGTGGCTGTCCTCATAGCAGTGACCACTTACCATATCAGTGCCATAGACAGGGGAGGTCATCTTAATCTCCCAGAAGTGTTGGCCATCCCCCAGCTCCTTGGTGCCCCGTATAGCTGCAGTACCACAGCTGTACTCCATGTGGAAGCTGACTTTGCGGTTATCACAGCTAAGCAGCGTGGCTGATGACTTATTTAGGTCATCCCAGACCCAGTCAAAATCTATAAAATCAAAATGGAGAGGCCCAGACTGAGGAGGGCCCTAAAGCCACAAGGCCTACCCTGTGCATCCCAGGAGGGCCTGACCCAGGTGCTCACACTCGTCCTCCTCTCCGCAGCGGCAGTCCTTGCCACGGTGGGCCATATGCAGACTGCTGCAGAAGGCAGCCTCGCTCTGGCCCTCACAATCGCAGAAGGACTCCCCTGTCACAGGCACAGCACTGGGGATGGATGGCGGCACAGATGAGTACTCTGGGTCAGAATCTGAGTCACTGTGCTAGAAGAAAAGGGGAAGATATTCCCACTGGTCACCCACCCTCCATTTACCATCACCTCCAACACCACCACAAGCCAGATTGTTCTACACCAGAAAAGGGACAGGTACCAATACTCCTTGGGGGGTCACAGGTCCACAGCAGAGTGCACTCTCAGTGCTAACATCTGACAGACTGTGTGCCCCCAGCCACAACCTATTTCTGCACAACATGAGGGCCTAGCATAACCAGCCACCATGGAGTACCAAAGCCAAGGCCTACCAGCTCTGCCCTCTAGCATTCAATAGACAACTTTGTGATGATAGATAAGGCACAGGCCTATCCCTGACAGATCAAGGCCTTCCTGTCACTTCAGCCAAGGAGGTACTCTGGTAAGGCTCAGCCAGCTCATGCTGTTGCTGCTACTGGAAACAGCCAGGACTCTATCATTACCTCTAAAGGGACACAGTTCTGTGGTTCAAGTTCCAAGTCCCCAGGCCTGATACTGGCTCAGGAGTCAGACACTACAGCAACTGAACTGGGCAGGTTCCAGCAATAAGCCAACCCAAGATTGAAGAGGCTTTCTCCACAGTCTTTCCTACTTCAGTGATACACAGGCCTTTGAAGTACCTGCTTCAGCTCTAGACCAAGGCCAACCTGTCAGGGGCCAGGGAAGGTACAGATAGTCTACAGCCTCTTCCATCAGCTGTAGGCCTGGCCTCTGCTTCAGCTTCCCTGCCACACATTTGCCCAGCAACCCAGGTAACCTAAAATATGAGCAGTCCCTGTCACACCACAGGGTCCTGCAGATAGAGTTAAAGCCAGTGCTTAGCCAAAGTCCTGCCCTTTGCCATGTCTATTCACATTAACTCTGCTGCAGGGCATTATTTTGACTGCCATGGATAAATGGTTAAGACTTCACCCCAACCCTCTTTAAGTTCTGACACGGGGTTTTACTGAGTTGCCCACCTTAGGCTTTAACTTGAAATGTCAGCCATTTGTGTGTGTTGCTGGGGATCTAACCCAGGGCCCTGTAAATGCAAGGTAAAAGCTCTACCACTGAGCCCCAACTCTTTAGGCTTTGAGATCCTCCTGCTTCAGCCTCATAAACTGACTCCATAACATGCTCCCAAGGATCCTTTCCCAAATCCCTTTCATTATACTGTATTTTCCTCCACATTCCCCTGTTCACTTCCCTCTCCCACTAGACTCTGAACTCTTCCTAGAGGGACCTGTTCCTCCAAGTTTTTTGTTAATGAGGCCACATAGTATCTTAAATGGGGGAGGAAGTCTCCTGCATACCTGAGGGGAAACTGCCCAGCAACTTCTAAGTATGTGCTCAAATGGACTCTGCTCTTGAGGAGAAGCCACAGGGAACCACCACAGCAAGCACAGTCAACCCCCAAAATGAACACAGGCCATCCTACCTGGAGACAGGCCTTGCCTCCAGATAAAGCAGGCCCAGGAGACTGTAACGTCACTGTCATAGGAGGGCCTCCCAACAGCGAGCCCACTGAGTCAGGAGCCAGCACACGGGTCCAACTGACCCTCTCTGGGGACAAGGCAGACTTGACCCTGGATCACCTTAAGGACAGCACTGGAGCGGAGGAAAGAAACACCCAGGATGACTACCTACACCTGCCCACACACAGGTGCCTTAGGCCCATTAGGTGACAGAGGCCAAACAGCATGCATGTGTCACACTGCCCAGCCCAGACACCACCTGCACCCCATAGCCTAGGAGGCAGGGTCACAAGCAATAGACTGCTTCAGGCCTCATGGTCAGTGGGAGCTAGAAGCATGGAAGGAATGTAGGCCAGGCACTCACACTCAGGAGGCCCCAATTAGCCAGGCCAGTAAACCTGTGCCTCCAAGTTCTCCCACAAAGCCAAAGAAGGAACCATTCCTGACAGGGACATCTGTCTGGACCAGGATACAATGCACAGGGCTATAACTGTCCAGCCTCAGAAAGCCAAGTGAAAAGCCACCGCACTGCCCCTCCCCTCCTCACTGCACTGTATCAGGGATGAAGGCCACTCAGCCTGCCCACAGATCTGGCCACAGATAAAGATGTGCACGGAGCTGAACCTCTTCTGGCCACCTCACTTTTTGGGGCCTATCTGAGCTCTCA